ATCCTCAAGATGCAAACACCTCCTTTTTTTCTCTGTGGGTAGTTCAAGTCTTTGAACTCAATAGCTGAAAACTCTGCTGCACCCCACACTCTCCAAGTGCTTCACGGTTTGCATGGACGGCCTCGGTAAGCGAATTTCCAGATGCGTGGCTGCACGGAGAAAAACACTTCGTGCGTGGGACCCGAGGTTGAGGTCATATGGATCTCTGAAGTTTTCGGATCACGTATCTAAAAACTTCAGGTCCAGCTGCCGAAGTTCGGGTCAGACATCTAAGTACTTCGATAATTCGATATACCGAAGGGTTCGGGTCAGACATCTGAAGTACTCCCGTACCCGTACATACCGAAGTGCCTCGATGTCTGACCCGAACTTCGGCTGCTCGACCTCAAGTTTTCGGGTGCGTGATTAGAAAACTTCAGCGATTCATATGACCTTAACTTCGGGTCTCATGTACGATGTTTTTCTCTCCGTGTGCGTGGCTCGCTTTGCGATATATCGATTGATCTGCCATTGAAACCTATGGGTAAGGATCGATAAACAGGGTGTTCGCAAGGAACACCTTAATAATCGATTCTTTACCATAGCTTCAAATGGGGAAATATCGATAATCGATCAAGTGAATGGCACCTGCTTGAACATGCTTTGAACTCCGAACCGATATAAAACAACAACACAAATTCGATTTATATCCGTCCGTTACATGGCAACAATGAGGCACAAGTACGGATACGTCACGTAGGATATTACTACGGCGCAACGCAGCTCGGCGTGGCGCATCGAGTTTTGCTGCTGCGTCACAGCAGCTTGTCGATGCCCCAGGAAAAAGGAGTGACAGAGAAAGACAGTAGCCAGGAGGACCTGGTTGATGTAATGCACTCCTAGAAAAAGGACTCGCGGGTCAATCTCAGCGGCGTTGCCGTTTTAGGCATATTTTCAGTCCGATTTGATATCAGTCACGATGAGAAAGAGACGTGGCTAAGAGGGAAGGATCCGTCTATGAACGGGGTTTTATGGAACAACATGCAGGAAATAACCCGAGGGCAAGGTCGCATGATGGCACTACCTTCATCATGGTAGAAACGGCACTAGCCCTATCCTCATATAGTATTTGTGACTAATCTGGGGTTTTGAAATAGTTTTGAAGAAAATTATAAAATACTGTGAGAAATATTTTAAAAAAACTTGGAGGCTGAAGTTTTAAATTTTTTCAGTTTTAAGCTACAAGCGGATTCAGACACATCCAAAACAGGACTGATCAGTCCTATTTTTCGTTGAGGTTGATCACACGGTTTTTAATGTAGTTGTGCCTTTAGGCTTAGAATTAGTTTTGTATTTATTTTATAACGCGATTGTCTAGAGCATAGTAGCCTACGGGTGTGAAGTATGCCCGATGAAGCAGCGGACCCGGGAGGTTTTAGAGGCAACGGAGATGGACCTCTGGCGTAGATCAGCTGGTATTTCCAGAGAGGATCGCGTCAGGAATGAGACGGTACGGGAGATCATGGATGCCAAGCAGACCATCGTGCATGACATTATGACAAAACAACTCATTTGGTATGGTCATGTCCAGAGAATGGCAGGAGACAGGTTGCCGAAGAAGGTCCTTGACTGGGTTCCTCCTGGGAGAAGACGCAGAGGGCGCCCAATGAAAGGTTGGAGGGAAGGGATTGAAGCGGAAATGTTAAGGTGCTCAATCCCCCAAGATTTGTGGTTTGAAAGAGAGCAGTGGAGGTTAGGGGTCGTAGAGCGCGAGGGAGTGCTGTAAAGCGACTTACATGTATTTATTTTATTAGTCTTTAATAATGCCTTGGGTCACCGAAACGTTCTGCGAATGTTTTAAAAAATGTTTAGCCTTGTTTCCCATTGTTTTTGTCGTGTTCTCGCTATTGTATTATTATACATATAGAGGGTACACTTATATTTCACATGTCTATAACATCTACATAACATTTTCTACATTTGAACAGAGGAAAATATTCCTTGCCACTGGAGCTCTAGCCTGGCATCGAACGCCTCAAGAAATCCAGACTTCTCGAAAAATGACAACTGTGACGAGTTCGGACCGACGGCTTGTCACGCATCAATTCGTGGCTCCGACTCCAAAAAGACGTGTTTGTTATGAGATGAGCCCTGCTGAGCGCTTAGTTTCATGCTCTCGAGGGCTCACGTGAAAATCAGTTATGTTGTTTTTGTTCGTGGTATAAGACGAATTGAGACACTCCGGGGAAGAGGTGTTCCCGATGAACCCCCTGGGGTTCCCTCAGCTCCACGACTTGGGGAAAACCTCCAAATTAGCCGCGCTCTTTGGATGACTGATTTGAAAAAAAAAATAAAAAATAAAAAATGAAAGAAAAACGAAGTAAAATACCGAAGAGAACTGTACACCGATCCCTCGCCGTGCGGTGAATTGTAATTCTATGATGTATCAATGTATCATGTCCTCGCTGAGTCAACAGACAAATTATTTGCCACGTCTAAATTAGACCAATTTTCAGCGAAAAGAACCGATGCTGAGAAAAAACGCCGTGTAAGCTCTCGAAAATTGCCAGATCTCCTCTGATAAAGCATAAGTTTTCGCAAAAAAACTGTTAACATTTTTTACCAGGAGATGTTCAAGAATAAATTCATTCTCAATTGGCCGTATTAATGCTGAAAGGGAATATGCGTAAATGAATGTGATCCAAGGGAACTATGTATCGAGCTAATCCTGTGCACATAATACCTTCGGCTTTAATTTATTTTCACATATTCACTTGAAGCATGAATACGTCTCAATTAATGAAACATTCCCTAAAAATTTCGAAGAAAAATATTAAAAACGTTTTACAATAATTATGTGTTTTTTTGGAAACTAGGAAACATTCGATATAGATTCGATCGGAAACGATAAAAATCTTAACTTGGGGCGTGTTTTAGAAGTTATTTCAGGTGATAAACGTTCAAATCATATGCACAGTTCTTCCGTTCTATTTGGGAACACCGTATGAACGTTGCATTGTAATAATGTATGATTTTCTACGTATGGTAAAATCAAATTTATTTTGAAAACTTAAGAATTCTCCGCTTGGAATGTTTTGGAAAATTTTTCTCGTCCTTCAATCTAGGATTTCTGAAAATTTCGAAGATGAATATACTGAGGAATACACTTTTTACTGGGTGACTTTGGCAATATTTGAATGTTTATATACTGTTACTTCTTACGAAGCACTGGGGAAAAGAAACACATTGGATCTAGAGTCCAGACTCTTAAAAACATCGACAAGAAAAAATACTCTTGAATCAGATTTAAGCTTAAATCAAGAACCAAGCCTCTTAATTTGAGTGGATTTCCTTTCGATTTGAGCTTAAATCTGATTCAATCAAGAGTCCTTTTTCCTGTCAATGTTTTCAAGAATCTGGACTCCAGATTCAATGTGTTTTTTTTTTTCCAGTGAGGCAGGATAACCGACATAGCGCGATGCAAAAATCGAGGATTTTTCACACAAAAAAAAAATGAAAGTTCAGAAATTATACATTTTATCAGTCAACCATCAAACCGTTATGAATAGTGCCACAAAAACACCTTAAAAAATGCCTATTTCAGTTCTAGAGAAAGTCAACAAATGCCTCACTCGATATAATCCTGCTACACGGAAAAAACAAGACTAGTGTTGAGCACTACTGGCCGTTTAGTGGGGAGTAGTTGAGGGCTGGCGTCTAAGCGCTGTACAGTTCAACACCGGAAGGTAGTACAGGTGGGCACTGAACATGAGTAGTGCTAATCAGATGCCGCGAGACGTAGTTGCGCTTAACAGGTGTAAATTCACCCATGAAATGTCGGAGTTACGATAGCCTGGTGGTAACGCGCTGGTCTTCCACCGGAGCAACCCGAGTTCGATCCCAGGCGGAGGCGTTTCATATTTTACGCTCGCTCCAAAGTCACTTTAGGGCTTGACACTACTTCTTCCTTAGTGACCCAGCCTCGAGCTGTTTAGTGCCCAGCACTCCTCTGACTTGCTGGCTCCATTTGATCTAACCCTCGTTAGTGCCCAGCACTAACATGTAGGTCCCAACCCTAAGCTCGTTTTTTCCGTGTAATCCTATGGAAGCCCTCAACAAAAGCAGAACGTGTTACTCTAACCGAGTCATCTGATGAGTGATGAATGCCTTGCGGTGCTGAGCGCCGAGAGAGGCAAAGTAAACAAGGGATTCTGGAAATTCGGCCTTGGATAAGACGAGAAACAAGAGCCCTTAAAATATTTCCAAGAAGAGCAATCGAGAGCCCGCGGATGGAAATAAGGGAACCCTTATTTCCGGCTTCCCTCATAGTATAACAATAAATCCCGACAGCGTAGCTCCAAAAGTGTAGCCCTGCCGCGGTGGTTTAGTCTTCCTTACACTCGTAAATATAGGCAGGGACCAATTCTATAGGACCCTGGACTCCCGTAAGAGTCAATGTAAAAATTCGTGAGCAGGTACTAGTGCTGCATTCTCGCGTAGGATCCTCGCAACTCACTGCTGTTATCAGTTGTTGGACTTCATTAAAATCCGTAGGATCGCGTATAACTGCAAAAAATCGAATTTTTCACCGTACTGCTACATGTGGCGGGGGCTTCATTGGCGAAAGGGGTCGAAAAACGCCAAAAATATACTTATTTTTCAAGAATTCAGCCGTCTTATGTGTTATTTTTCAATCTCCGGCTTAACCTCACTTTTGGAGCGGGCGATGGATGAGTCGAGGTTCGGGGGGGAGGATCCTCTGAGTTGACTAGGATCCTACGCGAGAATGCGCTGCAATCACCCGCTCACAGCAGAACGGCGTCCTATAGAACTCGTCCCTGATATAGGTAGCAAGATATATTCATATAGGTCAGTCCAGTGCTCAGAAACTCCACGCGAGGTTCAGGTTATCATTCGCTGTGATCATATAAAAATGTTACATCTCAAAGTGGAATTGAGATGGTATTTGTAAAACCCGAAAATAAATATTTCGGATATCACAATTAATTTGAGGAACTTACCTAAAATCCCAATATTCTTTTGGTTTGAGTTTGTTTACATGTTCCCGAGAAAGCATCGTCCCGCGATAATTGACAAGCCACACATCAAATCCAGCGTCTGCGCAAATATATCCTATAGAACAAATGAAAAGAAAAAATAAGTACACATATCGTTTGAAAAATAGCAATACAACCAGGGTGATAATATACAGATGAACGAAGCCAGATTCCGTTAATTAAGGATACTTTTAAGATTAGAACATCTTGAAAAATGGCAGTATTTTAATGGCCTTTATTGCTCTGCAGAAAAAAAAATTCTTCTTGCCTTCATTATAACGCCGTAAAGCTCTCCCGTGATACTTCCAAGTCAAGCACGCAATTTGATCTGATGGATGAGTTAAAACTCCTGAGAGTATGCAACTTGCACGTGCGACACTTAAGTTGCGGGCACACGTTTTGAAGGCGAAATCGGACTTCATTCGCTCGACTAACGCGTTCCGCGCCAGTACAAGAAATTCAAATCTTCCACCGATGTGTCCATCGCAAATCAATTAAACACGTAAACATAACTTTTCGTTGTGTTTAAATTATTTCCCCTAAGTGTCTTACGTTGAACTCAAAGGGCCCACTGACCAAAAACCACAATTAGTGGAAATTACAGTATCGTAAAGCGACATGAGGTTTTTTTATTGTTTATGTATTTATTTATTCATTTATTTATTTTTTTTTAATTTTTTTGATTATATTATCAAAGAAAGAAAATCTACACAGACTACTGGAGAACATTCGCGCAATCGAATTACTCACTAACTCGCGAGTCATACACCATCACTGGTCGTCAATGGTGGGGCGTGAATGATCGATTGTCGATATTTCTCCATCTGAAGCTATGGTAAAGAATCGATTATTAAAATGTCCGTTGCGAACACCCTGTCTATCGATCGTTAACATAGGTTCAAATGGCAGATAAATCGAGATACAGCAAAGCACGCCACGCCACTGCTGGTCGAACTGGACGTGCCTGTGATCTATGAATCGGTTGTCTATAGGTGAAAAAGCGCCTTCAAAACAAGGAACTGCAATTTTCGCTTCACCCCGATGCTATTTTTTTTTAAAAAAAATACTTAGCTGAGTAGACATCATGTAATGTAATTATTATTTTTTTCTTTCATTTTTTTGGGAACACAGTAAATTAAAATCTGCACATTACTTGGACACTTATAATTTGAGAGAAAGCCTACCAAAGTTCATTTGCAAGTAGATAATGTACCCACTTTTTGTCCTCCTATAAAAATAAGCGGAAAATACAGCATATTTCAAAGAGTTATCATTTTTTTTTCGTCCCTCGAAAATTTTTAAAAAAATAGCCCCTCCTAGATTGAATATTAAGAAGTTTTAGCATACAATTTGTGCATTATTTGAAAGTTGAAAATTGACGAAAAATACCGCCTTTGCAGTAATTTTATCATAGTGTATGGACTATTTCTTTCTAAGGTACCGAGTGACCGTCGGCTTAGTAAACTTTGGTTATGTAGTGCTGTCTTGAAACATTTCAGTAAATTTTTAGGCGCTTTTTTTCCCCCATCTTTTTTCCTTTTTTTGCCCCGCCCCCTTTTTTGGCCCAAGGAGGGGGAGGAGAGCATGCCACCATGTCCCTCCCCCCATGGATCCGCCACTAAAAGGCATAAGGCATGCTTATTTATTTGAAATTCTGTAATTTTAAAAATCTTTGAGCATGTGTGAGCAAAGTTCAAAAATATTAGACATTACTGACCTAATCCACTCCTAGGGCCTGCTATAAGGTACTGCATTGCATTGCCTACCATACCATGCAACAGAATCAACGGCATTCTATCACTGGTGGAGTTTTCTCTGTGAGGTATCCGATCCAGAGTAAGTATGTATCCATCTGGAGTGATAACTCTATGAGCTTCACCTGGGTAACCATGTTTTTTCATGTGCTGAGTCTGAAACCAAACGATACGTATTGAAGTTTTAATCCATTTGCTAATGAGAATCCTAACTCATCTACCCGTAGTAGTGGCTAGATGGTAGAGTATGTATTCGATCGACATGAATCGAGTGACGTGAGTCGATCTATATGAATCGATCGAAAAACCAAAACGAGAATCGATCGAAAAAATCTGTGAATAGATTGACAAATGCCGTGATTCGATCGGCAAACCACTGAGTCAATCGAATCACATCGATCGGTTAGCGTTTTGGTTCTCGATCGATTCATGTCGATCGAGTTGACACCGGTTTTTTAATAATTTGTCGATCGTATCAGTGTCGATCAATTCACGTTTTCATTTTTCGATCGATTCATGTCGATCAAATCCATACCCTCCGGCTAGATGTTAGTGTATATTTTCGCGTATTTACTTTTAGCGGGTTTTCCTTCGTGATTAACAGTCTCTACGTGTTTTGAGTCACTCAACGTTCGACATGCCCAACAAACCGTGCATCTCGATTCATCATTCTACTTCACTTAAGGCTAATGGAATCAGCAGAGGGAGGCTTAAATGGACCAGTTGTCAGACGTGTAGTAGCCATCGACGGATAAATGAATCTAAGGATGTAAAAAGATCAGCGGTAATAGTGAAAACATTAGACATCTTAGCATTGTTGTCCATCTGGAAGATTGATACGCATCTTTTCTAACTCACGTTACAAAGCTATCCATATACTATCCATTAACTATGAAAGGCGACTCCCTAATCGAGGAAAATTTCATCCCTATGAAATTTTCCTCGATTTCTCCCCCTCCCCCCTTCTTGAAAACACAGCTTCGCTAGTGTCTCTTCGTTTTAATTGCGCACTAATTTATTCAATTTTTTTTGATGGAATAACATCAGCTGGCCTTCGATCTGTCATGTAGGTGTAGTCACAGTTTTCTGCCTTTCCTACACGGAGAAAAAAACTTCGTGCGTGGGACCCGAGGTAAACGGTCATATGGATCTCTGAAGTTTTCGGATCGAGCATCTGAACACCTAAGGTCTACCTGCCGAAGTTCAGGTCAGACATCTGAAACGGGGGTGGTTAATTTAGCATTTTTTCATCGTAAAACCTACATTAAAACATGTCGGGCACTTTTTTTAACTACAAAATTGTTAAATCAGCAATTTCATTTTTCACGTGTTGAAAGAGGAAACAAGTCTTTTGATCCATAGTGCATACATTATATACGCTCCCTGTTTTCTGGTGTTTTAATCCCGGGACACCCTGTATTTTGATCGCTGTGCCGCGCATTTGATCACAATATTAATAATGATAATAGTCAACAAGCATCCTCAAACGGCGGTTTTTCGGCTGAAAGAATGCAGGCTTAGGAACTGGTTCTCATTATCTCTCTTCAATATCGTACAACCCATCAATTTCCATCTTTCGAAAATTGCATCTACCTTATAAACAAAGAGACTCCTTGAAACCGATCGAACTGTTTTCCACAAATTTGCCATAAAATCTTCACCTCTAAATTGCGTCTTTGAGTTTCTTTCTGTAATGGATTTTCCTCCTTTTCCACTATTGAAGGAAAATTTTGAGCATTTCTTTTTTTCGGACTAATCACTTTCGGTGACGCAGCGAACGAGGCGGAGTCAGTTTTAGTGAGCAATTACTGTCTCTTTCACCTCGTTTGTCCAAGAGAAAAGGAGAACACTTCAGATCAAGGGCGAATTCCTTCGGGACTAGCAATAAAAATTAATCGAGAAATTTCAATAAAAAATGTGCCGAATTTAGCAAAAGGTTCTCTCAGACAATAGAACTCGAAACAATTAATACTAATTATATCTCGATCTTCATCATGGAACTAAAAGCTCTAGAATTTGTACTGCGAGGCTTGCATATCTTGAGGAAGAATGTTGGCGCTTTGTCTCGAGGGAAAACTAATCGAAATTAAATTGTTAAAAAACACGGTATTGCTACAGAAAGCTTTGGGCTATCCAAAGAAATTGCCATCCCTCATCTGCAACTACAAAAACTTTTTCAAGAAACTTACTTGTCTTTTCGTTATATATCCTGTTAATAATATGAAAAAATAAGGGGGGATGGGAAAAGAAGGCTAAAATACGCAATAAAACACGGAGACGTGTTACTATCTCATCTGAAAGTGAAGTTCGCAGTATACCTAGGTATTTCATGATTTTTCTGCATGGGAAATTGTTTAAAAACTTTAAAAGTGAGGAAATCTGTCACCTTGTGCGTGACGTCATCTGGTGGCATTTTCCATTTAAACACATGTACACTGGAAAAAAACACATTGGATCTAGAGTCTAGACTCTTAAAAACATCGACAAGAAAAAGTACTCTTGATTCAATCAGCATCTAACTTAAATCAAGAAGCAAGCCCCTTAATTTGAGCGGATTTCGTTTTAATTCAAGCAAAAATCCGATTGAATCAAGAGTATTTTTTCTTGTCAATGTTTTCAAGAGTCTGGACTCTAGATCCAACGTGATTTTTTTCCCGTGTATTTAATAGCAGATTAGATTGTTTTGTCATACTTTCTCCGATAATTGTTCAATTTATGAGCCAAGGATATACATTTGCTCCAATTCTCTAAGCAATTTCATCATAAACATGAATTTTACAAAATTTCAGACATCTGCATATTCTCCATTCTCCCTCGAGTTGCTCCACTGTAACACCAGTGGCGTGGCGTGTTTTGCTATATATCGATTCGTCTGTCATTTGAATCTATAGAAACGGATCGATAAACAGGGTGTACGCAACGAACACCTTAATACTCGATTCTGAACCATAGCTTCAAATAAGGAAATATCAATAGTCGATCATTCAGGCTTCACCTCTGCATGAAATATGATCTCAAAATCCCTGCAGGGGCTATGCACAACGAAATCGTATGAATGGATCACTAGGCAAGGTACGAATTTCAGCATTCTGATGCATGTTTCGTACCTAAAATTTCACGTAGAACACGATGCGCACAACAAAAATTACCGCAATCAACTCCTAACGAAGATATTTAATGATTCTTGATGCGTGAATTCAAACCACCCGCTCATGAAAGCTCAATGCTCTACGTGATTCACATATCGCGCGCTAAACGTTATCATGACAGTCTCTGCGATATAAAAATCTGGCAACCTCAATCTTGACGCTTTGGCTCAGCTATAGCAAATTGCTAATAGTTTGAACAACACGTGGTGGAAAATGAACGTGGCTCGATTGAGAAGCTTGCTGAAACCGTTGCAGTGCGCGATTTGACTCACGATGAGCTTTGAGTTTCTTCTGAGCGGGCAGTTCGAATTCCTCGTGACCAATGTAAATAAAAATGTTAGTATCTCCGTTAGGAGTTAGTTTCAGTCATTTTCGTAGCGCGAATCGTGTTCTACGTGAAATTTTGATTAAGAAACTATAGTATCAGATTGCTTATATTCGTACCTTGTCTAGTGGTTCATTGAATTAAAAGAGAAAGGACTCGGAGACTTTAACGCAAATGTAGAAAAGTAAGAGTAGGTTTCGATTCACGCAGTTACTGTCAGTTGTTCGGCATGCTTTGCGATAAATCGCTTGATCTGCCACTTACACCCATGGAAAAGTATCAATAGACAGGGTGTTCGCAACGAAAATGTTAATAATCGATTCTTTACTATAGCTTCAAATAAGGATCGAGAATCGATCATTCATGCCTCGCCACTAGTGACTACTGTGAGGCAGTTCACATTCCGCCTAAAACAAATAGCCAATACTTGCGGACAATCATCAACTGGACGTAGTTCTGCCAAACGGAACTATGTGCATTATGGCGTGAGCCCTCTTATGCGTGTATTCTTATAGGTCTCAGGGCTCATTTCTTCATGTACATAGTTCCGTTTGGCAGAAATACGTCCAACTAACAACTTTCAAACACGCGCGAGTGCAAGCCAAGTTATTTGCTCGTATCCGCCGATTTTTTGCTTGCTTTTTTTTGTTTGTCCCCCGGTTTACTCGTCCATAGATAATTGATGTAGTACAATCATCCTTGTTGAGAAGCGGTGTTGCTAATTTTACCGTAGAATTCGCCTATTTTACATTAGTGTCACGCAAAATCCATTAGTGTTCCTAAAACTAATCAACAAATTGCTCAACTGCTAAATTATGGTTATAAGCAGTTGTGCCAAAGTCGTCCGCCTTCCGGTCAAAATATCACAAGCGCCATGCGACGTTTCAAAATTTCCGAGATTGTTCAAAGAAACTGTCCGAAAATTTCACTGAATTTTCTTTGAGCTGCCGATAAAATTCAGTGAAATTTCCAAACAGTTTCAACCAACAATTCCTCTGTAAAAAACTTAAAATGGCGGCGGAAATTGTCAAACATTGCATTGCGCTTGTAATACTTCGGCCGAAAGGTAACGACGTGTCGGTGACGAAATCACCTATTAACACGAAATCCGATCGACAAATTTTGAAATCAATAGGAAATCGATTTTTCAATTAATTTTCGAAAACATCAAAATTCAACGTTTGTTTTGGAAGAGATTTTAAAAATATCTTTCGTAAATTGATAATCTCATAACAGTCAACTCAAGCTTTTAAGAACAATCGCTTACTTCACATGGGTCTCCATCGAAAAATTGAAGATATCCTTGGAAAATTGATGGTGCCTTCTAACGTTAGGCTGTACCTAGTCTGAGAACGAAGTTTCTGATTAATTTTTCGAGAACGAAAATCCGACAAATTCTCGATCATTATGTGTCGGACGTCATTAAGATGAAACAGTATTACAATATGAAAAAGTCGATTGTTTGCAGCCAATCCAATTTTCTATGCAATAACTTTTCTCGTCACTTCAATCGGAAAGCTGGGAATGTGCTGATAATCCATGCGATAGAACAAGGCCTGCTGCCGTGCTAAGGAAGAACGCCGTATGAACATTTAAGAGTTGCCAAATTTCCTTCGATAAAATGTTCCTTTTTGAGGAAAGTTATGAATATTTTGCCTTTAAATTATCAGGACCTTTAGGTG